TCAGTAATTATGATATCTGAACATATTCTTATATAAATTGACAGAATGGAGTTTAAAATACTGAAATAGAGCCCATAATCAGATAATTTATTAAAAAACTATAAAAATGAAAAAACTTTTTACAACATATTTTTACAATGATGATGCGTACATCCCTCGATTAAATCGAGTGTATAACAAAATTAAGTAAATTTGATAACAGAAATTTAAATGTGGAGTTACTTTCTTCGAGATCGCAGAGAACGACTGAAGGACGGTGACGGAGATGGTGGTACCACCTCAGGTGTTAAATCAACAGCACTAGGTTCCGCATTGAAAAGTTTTTTCCTCTTCCTGATCCTTTTTTCACTGGTAGGTGCAACAGCAGTCGCAGCAGCAGTTCTCCTTGTTGTTCTCTTTGACTCAGATGGAGACAGCTCATAAACAGGAATATCAATTTCATCACTATTAGAAGTCTCAGCAGGTACTTTTTTCCCCCTTCTTGCACGCCTGCTACTGGTAGATTTGGGTGAGGTCTCGTCAGAGGTGCTCTCGTCCCTGGGTTTGGTCACCGGTACCTTCAGGGTAGCTCGATCGTCCGAGGGGGCTCTGAACTTTGAGGAATCGTCGTCCTTCTCTCGAGGTGTCTGGCCCTGCCTGGTGAAGACCTCCTGATATCTCATCACCTCCCTCTTCTCCCGGTCGAGATTGTCTTGAAGACTTCGTACCAGTACCTCATACCTGGCAATTGTCTCGTCTCGGTTTTTCTTAAAGTGTTCCATCTCTGTCTCTTTCTCATCTAAACTATTGATAATACTGACATTTGTTGTTTTCAAGTCTTTTATCTCTGCTGTCTGCTCTGCAATATTCCGCTGGAGCGTTGTAATTAATTTCTGCGTTTGCTCGTAGTTTTCACTTCGAGTCTCCATCAAATTTCTTATCTTGGTTTCCAGGGCTTCGTTAATTTTCGTGGCATCTCCAAGGGCTGCTCGTGTTTCACTCAACTCCTGAATGATCTGCTTGTGAGCCTTTTCAGTCTCCAGAGTGCTGGGATCATGAGCGGCCTTGATTTGAGTCTTCAACTCCTTCTGAAGCCTGACAATCTCATCATCTTTGTCCTTGCCGGCCATCTCTGACTGCTCCAGTTGAGACTTCAGGTGGAAAATTCGGTCCTCATTTTTCTTCAACTCCATTTCCAACTCGCTCTTTTCGGTTTGACATTTAGACAACAGAGCATCAGTTTCTGAAATTTTCCTTTCCAGGTTCTCCATGTTTTCCAGCTTCAACTCCAGCTGTTGAATTTTCTGGAGACTTTCTTTCATGGCTTGAGAATTTCCCTGATTACTCTCTTCGAAGGTCTTCAACCTGTCCTTGAGATCAGAAACCTGAGAGGCATGCTGTAATCTACATGCAGCCAACTCCTCTGTCAATTTATTATTCTCCCCTGTTCTCAATTTATCAGACATGTGGAGATTGTTGATCTCAAGCTCCATCAGGCCCAGCTTTTTTTTCCACTCCCTGATCTGAGACTCTAAATCCTCACGAGCCATCTGGAGGTTCTCCACCTGCTTCGAGAGATTGTCCTTCTCACTCGACGTCTCCTTGAGTTGCAGTAACAGCTGCTTGTTCTCCTCGATGAGTCTCTTCTGGTCATTCCCATCGCTGCTGTAATTTTCCAAAATGCCATTGGCCGTCGTTACTTCGTCACTCAATTTCTTAATCGTCGCAACCTGTTCTTCACAATTAGCTTTGAGTGCATCGTACTGATCTCTCATATCCGTGAGCTCCCTTTGAGATAACTGCACACCGATTTCATCTATTCTCCCCTTCGCAGACCTCAGATCTTCCTTCAAAGAGTTAATTTCCTCCACACTATAAGACAATTTCTCACTCAATAGCTTTTTTTCCTCCTCCAGGAGTTGTATCTGCTGATTCAAACTCTCAATCATCTGATTATCCCCTATTGGAATGTCCCTGAATTCTAAAAAGACCTCTTGACCCCCAGAATCTCCAGTAGAATCCTCCATCGTTGGGGAGAGCATCTCCTTCTTGATAAAGGACGTCGTAGAATTTACTTCAACAGCAATATTCCCATTCAGCATCTCCAATTGCTTTTCAAGTTTCTTCCTCAAGTTAATCTCTCTTTCAAGATGATTTTCTATTTCCTCCTTGAGCTGGGTCTCATCCCTGTAGAGAGCATTGACATCCTCGTACGCAGACTCGAGGTTTCGACACTTATCACTCTCAATTATATATTTCGCCTCCAACCTGGCAATTTTCTCCTCCTTCTCACGACAATCATCAGTGATCTCAATGTAATCGAGTTTAGCTTCATTGAGCATGTCTTTGAGATTCTTGTTTTTCTGCCAGAGAGCCGTGAGCTGCTCCTTCAGCTCAAGAATGTAAATACTACCATCGCCCTTCACCGAGAAGTCCTCCTCCAGTGACGCCAGCCGTGCCTTCACACTCGTTAGTTCGTCTTTTAAAATAGTCGTTTCATGCTTTAAATTATTCTTCTCCTGCTCGACCTCCATCTTCTCCGTACGCAGATCCTTCATCGTCATCTTGAGTGAGATGACCTTACCAGAAAGCATCGAAACCTGTCTTTGAAGCTCGACAATCCTCCCATTGTCTTCCTCTTCATCGTCATCATCAGCCTCTGATGGTGCACTCTCTTTGCAAGCCAATTTCTTTTCATAATAATCCTTTAACATCGTCAGCTGACACTCTAGAAACTCCTCTTGCTGGTTCTCATAGACCTCAATTTTTGCTTTATAATCCTTCTGGATTTTCTCCAACATCTCAGCATAGGAATTTGCGAGTTCCTCGCGTATTTGCAGATCCCTCTTGAAGTGTGATGTTTTGAGGGCTGTATATTCACCTTTCAGGCGCTCATTCTCAGCGATTAATTCATCGTAGTCCGTTTGGGCAACGGAAGCATTACTCTGAGTTTCATATTCCTCAGTAGAAGACTGCTCAGCGATTATTTCCAGGTCTGTGTCATCCCAATCTGTCGCTGTCTTCGTACTCTGGGCAACTACCAGTGAGAATCTCGTCAGGGATCTTCTTCGTTTTGGTTTCTTCGGTTGAATCACTATGTTCTTTGCGATTGCCGCAAGGTTCAGGACATGTTGGGTCTCCTCGTAAAGATTTGGAAGTGGATTGACGTTGACAATGAGAGCCATGGGCTCCTTTCCAGAGAGGGCCTGCTGGAAGAGGCGCGTTAGTTTGGACTCGCGAAAAGGCCCGAGGTGTTCTTGGCGCTGTTTCATCAGTTGCCCCTCGTAGATGGACTTTAGGCAGCGACCCAGAACCAAAAG